AAGGTGGATGGGATAGATGTTATTGTTTTTGGATAATGTATTGGAGGCAACATTGTCTTATGGAGGTGTAGGAAACAATTAGTTGTGTCTATCTCAAGGGCAGAATCATAGTATAGAGCAATGGTTCATGGACTCTTAGATCTGCTAATAGAAATTTAATTATCCTTCAAATTCTTGATGAAATTCCATGGTACCTTACAGTAGACATACCCAACATGAAGAAGATACCTCTATATAACTCTATAAATTCCCACTAAAATCTGTCTCTTACTTTCATTGAACCACACTTCATAAAGAATTGTATTTTTTTCCCAAAATGCCAAAGGCACTTTCAAATCCCACTCCTCCAAACCTCCCTAGATCATATGAGACAAAAACATTTCCTGCAAAACTGTTACTCTGTCCAGATAAAGGCTAGGGCTCTGATTTTGGTAGACAGTGTTGTGAGGTTGTCAAGTTTGCTTTTTCAATCTAAGATGTGATCTAACCTTTATGTAAGACTGTTAGTTTCTTCAATTTTTGGTGTTAAGAAACATATTTTTTTATTGCTACCCAAAGTAGTTAATGCCAATGACCTCCTATAGCTTCTGGGTGACACAGAGTTCCTGTTTGCCAAAGTGCTGAAAAGTTAGCTAACTTAGAAGGTTGCCTTTCTATGATGGTCTATGATAGACATTAAACTAATAGAGGGTTGTTTCATGAAAGCACCTAAATTACGAGATCAACCAATGAACCAAATCTGAATGGGGCTGATAGTATTTTCTTACAATTTGGACATACCAATCCAAGCAAAATCATTCTCTCCACTTGCAAGCATTTTCATTTGAAACTGTAAATGTGTTGCGTTAACTACAAATCTTTTTACAATTAATCCCCTACATCTTTTTCCATTGTACATGATTTAGTTAATATCATCAAGAAATGAATTAAAATATGAATAATGTATAATTAATAAATTGAAATATGGTACCTATTTTGAATGTGAGTATAAAAATGTGGATTCTGTACAGTATAAAGAGAAACTGCATACTTAGTAAATTTAATTAAATGAATAAGTGTAGCTGATGCAGTGGGGCTAGAACAAGCTATCAGAAAACAGAAACAAGAGGAAGAAAGAGTAGAAAGGGTAGAGAGAGAAAAGAGAGAAATCCCAAGGAATCACTCCAAGGGGTCCTAGAATCACTCTAGGGCTTGTAGGAATCACTCCATACAGGAAGAGAGCTCTTAAGAAATCTTCATTCATTCATTAGCTTCAAAAGGAAGAGAATACATCTATTTATAGAGTGACTTGTGTGGCCCGGAACACTGTTCACCATAATTACAAAAAGTACCACTCTTTGTCTTGTGCATCAAGAAACACAATAACTTTCTATCTACTAATGCAAATAAACTGAAAATTGAAAGACAAGAACTACTAAGCTAGAGGAACAAGATGCTATAGCCCAAGCCCACATTGGGCTGGTAAAGATGATGAAGATACCCCTGACCAGATCAGTCCGAGTCCCAAGAGTTCTTCTCCATGCCAAATTAGAACCTGTTTGTTGGCCTTCTTCTTATGAGGATAGGTCTTATAATGCATGGACCGATCCCCATCATCTCTCCCTGGCTTGAAAGAACTCAACCCTGGTGAGTTAAAGGCATGATATTGCTCATAAAGTTCTGGATTAAGATGATACAAATCTTTAGCTATAATCCACGAACATTCTGGAAGAGGTAGATTCTTCCACTTTACAAGAAACTTTTGATAACTTCCACTTGCTGTAGAAATCAACTTCTCATCAAGGATGCCTTCAGGCACATTAGTAGGTGGAACCAAAAGTAGCTTAGGCAATGGGACTATGGGATAATCACTATGGCCATGATATGCACTTAGGTCTTAAACATTGAAGATTGGGCTAATTCCCATTTCGCTTGGCAGCTCTAGGACATAAGCATTAGAACTGATTTTCTTAGTGATCTTATATGGACCTGCACTCTTGGAGTGAAGCTTCTTATAAAAGCCCTTAGGAAAGCATTCAGGACATGTACGCACCATAACCATTCACCCTCCTAAAAATCAGCTAGGCGCCTATGTAAATCAGCTTTGGCTTTGTATGCATCATTGCTAAGAGCAATCTTGCACCTAACTTCATCATGGATTTCTCTCATGTGGCGAGCGAAGCCTTCAGCCTCTATGCTAGTCCTGGCTTCTTGTAGCAAAGACACTAAATCAATAGGCCTCTTGGGCTGAATTTCTGTAACTATCTCAAAGGGACTTCTTCCAGTTGACCTGTTAACTGAACTGTTGTAAACAAATTCAGCCATAGGTAGGATGAGATCCCACCTGGAAGTATGGTCACCAACTACGCAACGTAGCAAATCACCGAGGCTCCTATTAACTACCTCAATTTGTCCATCAGTCTGAATATGGAAAGAAGATGAGAACTTCAGTTTTGTATTGAGGAGTTTCCGAAGTGTTTTCCAAAAGTAACTCATAAACTTTGCATTGCAATCAGAAACAATAGTAACAGGAACACCATGTAAACAAACAACTTCCTTAAAGAATAGGTTTGGCACATGCGAGGCATCTGATGTTTTACTGCAAGGAATAAAGTGGACCATTTTTGAGAACCTATCTTACCACAACATAAATTGAATCATGACACCTTATTGTCTTGGGCAGACCTAGGACAAAATCCATGGAGAGATCTTGCCAAGGCTCATGTGGAATTGGTAAAGGGGTGTACAACCCTATATTTTTCTCTCCCTTTTGCCAATTGACAAATTCTGCACTGTTTGATCACACGATCAACATCAGCCTTAAGGCTAGGCCAGTAAAAGCGATCTTCTACCATAGCAATGATCTTGTTCCGACCAAAATGCCCAACAATTCCACCTGCATGCAACTCCCATATAACATAATCACATAGTGAAGTGCTAGGAACAAATAAGCAAGTTCCCTTGAACAAATAACCATCATGGATAGAAAAGCCAGGATATTTAGATTGTTGTCCAGCTTGTAAAGAACCATAAATGATGCTGAAATCCTTGCAACTAGCATAATCTTGCTTCAACTGATCGAACCCCACAACCTGTATAGACATAGAATGAAGTATATACACCACTTGGCTCAATGCATCAACTACTCAGTTCTCAACACCAGCTGTATGCTTAATCACAAAGTTATATTCTACTAAAAATTCAGCCCATTTCTGATGTTGACTACTAAGATGCTTATGAAATTTGAGATATTTGAGTGTCTCATGATTTAAATACAAAACAAACTCTTAAGAAATTAAATAATGACGCCAATGTCAGACATTGCACAACAACATAGAATTCTTTGTCATATGTTGAGTACTTTTGTCTAGCTTCATTAAGTTTTTCATTGTGAAAAGCTATAGGATGCCCTTCTTGCTTAAGCACACCACCTATTCCAACTTGAGAAGCATCACAAAACACCTCAGATTTTTGAAAAGTTGGGCAATTGTAACAATGGGGTCTCAGTCATCCTTTGCTTGATAGTCTCAAAGGCTTTTGTTGCAGCCTTAGACCAAACAAATTCCCCCTTTTCCATAACTTCTGTAATTGGTGCCATAAGAGTGCTGAAATTCCTTATGAAACGCCTATAAAATGTAGCCAATCCATGAAAGCTTCTCACTTCATAGATGTTAGTGAGGGTGGGCCAATCAAGTATAGCTTTCACCTTGTCATGATCAGCCTTGACACTTTCAGATGATATAACAAATCCTAAAGCAATAACAGTAGGTGTCATAAAAGAGCACTTTAAGTTGATGTAGAGCTTTTCCTGGCACAAGACTAATGGTCAAGATGATCATCAGGTGTATGATTGTATACAAGAATGTCATCAAAGTAAACAACCAAGAAACGACCAATAAAAGAACGACGTACTTGAGGCATAACTCTCATGAAAGTGCTGGGAGCTAGAACAATAAGAGAAATTGCATACTTAGTAAATTTAATTAAATGAATAAGTGTAGCTGATGCAGTGGGGCTAGAACAAGTTATCAGAAAACAGAAACGAGAGAGGAAGAAAGAGAGCTCTTAAGAAAAGAGAGATAAATCCCAAGGAATCACCCCAAGGGGTCCTAGAATCACTTTAGGGTTTTGTAGGAATCACTCCATACAGCAAGAGAGCTCTTAAGAAATCTTCATTCATTCATTAGCTTCAAAAGGAAGAGAATACATCTATTTATAGTGACTTGTGTGGTCCGGAACACTGTTCACCATAATTACAAAAAATGCCATTCTTTGTCTTGTGCGTCAAGAAACACAATAACTTTCTATCTACTAATGCAAATAAACTAAAAATTGAAAGACAAGCACTACTAAGCTAGAGGAAGAAGATGCTATAGCCCAAGCCCACATTGGGCTGGTCAAAATGACGAAGATACCCCTGACCAGATCAGTCCAAGTCCCAAGAGTCTTCTCCATGCCAAATCAGAACCTGTTTGTTGGCCTTCTTCTTATGAGAATAGGCCTTATAATGTATGGACTGATCCCCATCAGTAGCTGACTTAATTTTCCAAGAGATATGTAGTATTTTATCCTCTTGGAAATAACCATCTTACCTCCTATATTCTTGTGAACATCCATTGATTTCCATGTCCAATTGAAGTAACTTTACCTATTCTCTTGGGAAACAAGTAGAGAGATCATGTTGTAAATAGCTTATCGTAGACTCTTAGTAGGAAATTATTGATAGGATCATAGGATACAGCCTCAATCAAACTGATTGTGGGATCCTAACCTTTGTATGTAATGACAAAACTTGTTGAAAAAAGAGCTCAGGTCATGTGTGGGGAAACATTACATGAGCTGGTGGGATAGCTACTAGTTGTCATGAATCTTTTAGGGCTATGCATAATAAGTGAAAATGGTTAATGAGCTGGTGATATATATTGTTTAATGATGATTTTGTCTTGCTGGTCTTGCATGCCTATTTTGTGTTGGATCAAATGCTCAAATGTAACTTGCTGCTCTTGGCATGTAATTTTCAGGATTGATGCTTTCCTTAATAGTGACCAGAACCGTTGTGCCAGTAAGCTTCTTTCTGCTTATGCAGAAGGGGACATTGAAGAAATCAAACGTGTTTCTCACTCAAGCACCATTTCAAACCTTGATCATATGGTAAGACTGATGCTGTTTCAATGACTCAAATTGTTCTATTGAATATTTTTATTGGATGCTGATGCATCTATCTGATAGGCCCCCAATTAACCTTACGTATGCCAGGAAGAGGAAAGGTCAACAATCGGCTAAGGG